ACGCCAGTCTTTGAACTGTTTATCTACAAATGAAAAATTCTACAAATGTTTGCAGGCAAGGACATATTTTACAGTGTTCTGTATGGTATATTAAAATTCATATCCTCTTGACATGTAGCTAGATCTGAACTTGTCATGCTAGCATTTTCTAATGTATTTTCAAATTGATAAAATGTGATTTCAAGCACTGACCCAGTTCATCCCTCAAGCATTTTCTAATAGCTCTCTCCAACCTTTGCACATCAAGAGATTTAAGCTTTTCAAGAAGCCATAAATTGAGGTGGATGCAAGGGAAATAACTCAAGAGATGGATGTAGAATTTTAATCAGGAAACAAGAATGATTACTACATGTGACTATAGGAATATAAAATGTATGCAAGGAATACAGAAATAGAAATGATGTGTATTAAATTTGTAGGAAGCTTAATAAAATTAGGTGTCCCTGAAGCTTACAGTATCCTCACAGTTGTTGAACTGTCACACTGGACAGTAAGAGGAATGCATATTCCCAGTGACGAACTTGTTTTCCCTCCCACAAAATGATTTCTTCAGAGATATGTGCCTGAGCAATCAAATTTTCAAATTAAGCCTGTATTTACATTTTGGACTACAACTCCCAAAGTCCTCTGGTAGGAGAACTAGCCTGTTGAAGCCTAGATTGATGGTTCTGAATGGAAGTACTCAAAGTATGACAGAGTGTCTGACTGGATGAGTCTATCTTTAAAGCTATTGACCTTGAAGTGTGAGACACACGGACTTTTTGATATGACAAAATAATGTGCCTGGATTATTTCATATGCAATTCACACTTTTTGTTGTTTCTTTTTGGCAGTTTACCATATCTGCTCTGTCAGCCAGGAATTCTGTTCTATAGTAATGGCTGAAATCCTGTTACTGCACTAGAGTAGGTCCATTGTCTCAGTGGGATTTGGTGAGTGAACCCTATGTAAGTTTGATTTGATTCAATAACCTACTCTACTTGCAGCTTACATTAGTGTAGTAAGTCACAACTAAAGTAGGCTTGTTGAATCAAATGGAACTTATAAAAAAACTTCTTTCATTGTATCCCACTATGTCAATGGGCCGACTCCCATAGAGCTTACTATGCTAAGCAACAAGATTTCAGCCACTGTTTTCAAAACCAGAAACTACACTAGCACTTAACGACACTCATGTGTCCCCTCTCTTGATGTAGAATACTCTGCAGTGCCTCAGTCAAATGTGCACAGCTGTGGTCAATGAGCCCACTGAATGAATAAACTCATTTTGAAGTAATCACGTAGCATGCTGCAGAGAGATGGCAGGATACTTCCTTTGAGTCAAATTTCTTACAGCATTTTTCTGGAGCACTAGCCATTAATCCAATATAGGAAACATTAGTTTTCACCTGACAGACAGTGCCGAATTCATAGAATCAGTTTATTGGCTATTTTTCAAAACTAGCAAGCTTTGGTTAATACATACAATACTCTTGTCTCTGTCAATCACCACAATGCTCAGTAGACTGCAGGATCAATAAGAACAGAAAGCTGGTATCTTAGACACCAGCTGTGAGTTTTCTTCAGAACACAAGAAACAAGGTGTAGAACATATTAATCAATGTGTTAGGAAAACAGTTTGAGAACAATTTAGGTATTTCGGTGAACATGTTCATCACTGTGTAAGGAAAATTCAGATATTGCTTCCCAACATGATGTTCTATCTTTGTGCAAAAAAGCAGGTTTGAATCTCTGCTCAAATATATGAAAGCTGATTATGGATACTCTGTGGTGAGGGAAATGATGTGCTCTTATTCACAGGTCGAATGTCCTATCACACCACTTATTAATAGGAGTTCTGATTAAATAACATTTGGGCCTCTAATTATGAGCTTCCTGTTTGAATTGAGTTCATGTGGTTTCTAAGGTTATCTTTTGCCTTCTAGAGTTCTGCACTTGTCCATAATACATATACATATTTTTGCAATGCTTCTTAATAACCAAAAGGTTAGAACTGTCAGAAAATAGTAATTTACCTAAGCATCTGTATGATGTTCCTGTGTGCTACTAATTCTGGCTCCTGATTGGAGTGGGGAGTATCAGCCACCCCAGACGAGTTAGTGGAAGCAGTCTTGACTGCCAGGAAGGGGGTACTCCATAGAGCCTCAGGTCTACAGTGTTCACCATGCACCACTCCCACTACTAGCTTTCTTCCTTAATTGGAAATGGATCCTGATATCAGTAGATGACAAAATGGCTTCCCTGCTTTAGGAAGGCAATGCTATCTCCTTCAACACCAGAAGAACTAAGATAAGACTAACGCATAGCTATTGAGAAGACAGACATTTTCCCAAATCCATTTATTAGTTCTAACTAGAGTAGATCCATAGAGGACGCCTCTGGCAGTGTTGGTGCACAAGCTTCCCATTGAGTCTATTGGTTTACTCTAATTTGGACCAACAGTTGGGTTTAGCCTTAATCAATTTCTGTAATCAAGTTCTGACCATGTGCCACCCCTACCTTCTTTGCCTTTCTAGCCATGTAATCTCAAATGCAGAATATTTATTCAAAATATTGGAATTGTTCATTACAAATAGAGTACATGTTCAGAATCATGATGCCTGATGTATCATAAAACTGCATATAGTGAGCAGTGAAAACTGATATTATGCAATTTGCAGATTTTGTATCACTGACCTACAGGTCAGCTTTTGAGACTGAAAAGTGCAGGGATTAATTATTTCTCTCTGCAAGTATTTATGAGTCGTGTCAGGTGGCTTGAAGGGAAAATGAAATGTCTCATCTTAATGTTGTACAAGATTTCAGAAAATCAGGGGAATTTTCCTCATGTTGCATACGCAACCATTTTGCCATTGCATGCCAAAATATGTCGTAGAAAAATAATTACTAAAAACACATGGAATCCCCGTATGAGTGAGATGAAATTTTTGTTGTTTGGTGACTTCCATATCGATTCCCTGAGATTCATGCATACGAGTACTTCATATCTTATACACACAGAAATGGTCCCTTCAGTTCAAATCAACCTCATACTCTACAAAGGAACAACAAGTGTGTTGTTGTTGTTGTTTATTAAGTCATGTCCGACTCTTCATGACCCCATGGACCAGAGCATGCCAGGCCCTCCTGTCTTCCACTGCCTCCTGGAGTTGGGTCAAATTCCTATTGGTGACACTGTCCAACCATCTCATCCTCTGTTGTCCCCTTCTCCTCTTGCCTTCACACTTTCCCAACATCAGGGTCTTTTCCAGGGAGTCTTCTCTTTTCATGAGAAGGCCAAAGTATTGAAGCCTCACCTTCAGGATCTGTCCTTCCAGTGAACACTCAGGATTGATTTCCTTCAGAATGGATAGGTTTGATCTCCTTGCAGTCCAGGGGACTCTCAAGAGTCTCCTCCAGCACAACAATTCAATAACATCAATTCTTCGGTGGTCAGCCTTCTTTACGGTACAGCTCTCACTTCCATACATCACTACTGGAAAAACCATAGCTTTGACTATGCGGACGTTTGTCGGCAAGGTGATGTCTCTGCTTTTTAAGATGCTGTCGAGGTTTGTCATCGCTTTCCTCCCAAGAAGCAGGCATCTTTTAATTTTGTGGCCGCTGTCACCATCTGCAGTGATCATGGAACCCAAGAAGGTAAAATCTGTCACTGCCTCCATATCTTCCCCTTCTATTTGCTAGGAGGTGATGGGACCAGCAGCCAAGATCTTTTTTTTTAATGTTGTGCTTCAGACCATTATTTGCACTCTCCTCTTTCACCCTCATTAAGAGGTTCTTTAATTCCTCCTCCTTTTCTGCTATCAGAGTGGTATCATCTGCATATCTGAGTTTGTTGATATTTCTTGTGGCAATCTTAATTCCGGCTTTGGATTCATCCACTCCAGCTTGGACTGTGCATGGACAGAAACAAAAGTTGAAATAGTGTGTCACAACTGGTTTCTGGGGTAGATACAAACTGGGCAAAGCAGACTTTGTGTTAGTCTTATTATTTGGTAACATTTGTACTGCGAACATAGATTTTTTAGCAGAGTTAAGTTTAGAGAATTGATGGGCCAAATTCAAGGAACAGTATTCTTTCTCTTCCCATCTAGAAGCAATCCTAATCATTACACACCGCACATTCCCTTTTCTAGTCAGCCACTTTATATGCGCTTCCCTTCCCCAGTGAACTGTAGTTCGATGGGGCTGTGCCCCCATGAAGGTGGAAACTGGGATCTGAAGAAGTTATCATGGGAAGTGCCAGAACTCTACCTTATTAAGTTTTAACAGAATGGGAGGTATGAATGTGAGAATACATCAAAACCAAGTGGTTTTCAAGGAGATAAATGAAATATCTAAGTTAAATTTAGAAATATGCCCTAAAATATGTTCCTCTGTGTTGCAGCTATGATTGAGAGTTGCAGACCACTTATACATTTGTTAATATGGAAATCATTATTGCTGACCTTAAGTCTCCATACTTTTTAGTTTAGAAAGAAACTCAGTAAATAGTACATTTTGGGAAAATAATCTTACATAATATTGAAAAATCATTCTAGGTATAGAAATACAGCCCTGATTAATATTTATAAATATATGAGGACATCAAGAAAATCAGGTTATTCTGACCTTCTGGAAGGTACAGCTAACAGTTATCTCTCCAGGATTTAACTGAAATCTAGAATTACTTATTTTGCTAGCTCTATAGCACATCAGACTGGAAAAATAGTCTGAAGTGTGGGTTGCTGATAGAAGTTTTTGGAATTTTGGCTCCTTGTGTTTGCTGCCAAGTGATTTAGGAGGAACATTTGCTCAATATGTCTGATTTATTAGTAGTTCACAGTCAGCAGCAGACACTGAAAGATTCCAAAAACACTAAAGGAGAAAACTCCTTTGGAACTTAGCAGTGTTACTTTCGTTTCCTTGCTCACCTACGGTATGCACACAGTTTTTTTGTTGTTGTTTTTCTGCCCATCATCCGTCTGTCTCTAAGCTTAATGTTTTCCATTGTCTGACAGGTGAGCTGCAAAGTGCTTCAGTTCTTTCACCAATACATGATGGGCTGCAACTACTTCTGGATGCTTTGCGAAGGCATTTATCTTCATACTCTCATTGTGGTGGCAGTATTTGCTGAAGAGCAGTGTTTGCACTGGTATTATCTCTTGGGTTGGGGTATGTGGTTTTTCCCCCTCATTAATTTCTTTCCTCTGGTTAATGTTTTGAACACTGTGACCAGCCTCCACCCAGACTTTCCACTTTTAAAATAAATTTTCTTTGAAGCAGAGGTACCCAACCTCCAGTCCGTGGCCTGAGACAGACCTCCCCCTGCACAGCTGATTTGCGCATGCATGTGCACCAGCGCACCCATGCAAGCACCACACCACCATTTGCACATGTCCACAAGCATTGTGCCACCGTTTGCTCATGCATATAAGCCCACATGAGTGCCATGCCACTGTTTGCATATGTGCATGCTCATTCACACAAAAGACAGCACATTCAGTCACACATGCGCACAAGCACAGGGGGTGTCCCACCATCCCCAGCCAGTCCATGGGGTGAAAAAGGTTGGGGACCCCTGCTTTAAAGGCCTTGATTCCAACCATTAAACCTACTAGACCAAACAGTTGAAGAATGAAACAGATGGTATTATCTTTATTACAAAGTACAGTGGTGCCCCGCACAGCGAGGCTAATCCGTTCCGGATTAACCTTCGCTGTGGGAAACATCGCACTCCAGAACACAAAAAGGCATTGGAACGCATTAAACAGCGTTTAATGCGTTCCAGTGCCATAGAATACTCCCCGTTGTGCGATGTTTCCCAGGGGCCGGCAGCCATTTTCGCGCCCTCCCCTCGCACAACAAGGGCGCCAAAATGGCTGCCATCAGCTGTTCGGCGGGTCCAAAATGGCCGCCGGAACAGCCGAAAGGGGCCAGGGCGCAGCGTTTTCACACCCTTGGTAAGCAAGGGGAGCCCACGAAACCGCTGCCGGAAGCCCCGAAATGATTGCGCGCAGCCATTTCAGGGCTTCCGCAGCGTTTTCGCGCACTCCCCTTGCTTACCAAGGGCACGAAAACGCTGCGCCCCGGCCCCTTTCGGCTGTTCCGGTGGCCATTTTGAAGCCGCGGAACAGCTGATTGTTGGGTCGCCAAGCGAAGGTCGGTAAGCGAGCAGCTTACCAACCTTCGTTCTGCGATTTCCCGCCTATACGGGCACCGTTTTGCGATCGCATTTGCGAATTCATCGCTCTACGAGGCGCCCGTTGTGCGAGGCACCACTGTAACAACTTACAGGGAATCAGCTTTTCCAACATCAGCCCAACTACCTAAACACAACATCCTCCTCCAGTTATATTCTTTTCCTTTATATTCCAGCTCTCCTGCCCCTTTCTCTTTCGGACTCTACCAGATGCGTTGGCAACCTGCACCTCCCCTAGCCAATCACCTTGTTTTCCCTGTTACCGTGCAGATTGGCCAAGCTTCCATCACAAACACATATAACTCCCTCACACACACTCCATAGAAGGTTGAAGTAATCACAGAAAAGCTCAAGAGGGTTCTTCCCTTGGGCACACCTTTCATGGCAATTTACAGCATAGGCCAGAATCCTCTTTGGTTGGTCCAAGCAGTTGGCCTTTTCTCCATCTGTGGAAGCCCCATTACTTGGGACAGGGTGACCTCTGGCTTGAGCAAGTGCAAGGCTGTTGTCAGGGTTCAGTAGAAAAGGCACCAATCCAGAGCAAGACCACAGGAACAAGTTAGAAACAACCACAGAGACCAACCAGCTAGGGCTTTGGCTCCAAACAGCAGCCAAGTAGAAGAATGATACAAATCATGGTCAGACAGTTCAGGAGTCAAAGCCAGGAGGAACAGTTTCAAAGCAGCAGGGTCCAGGGATGCAAGGAGAGACAAGACAGGAACAACACAATAAGCAGACACTGCAGAAACAGGCAGGCAGGCAAGCCAAGAATCACAGCACAGCCAGGGAAGTTCTGGGAGAGAGAACCACTCCTTAAATAGACCTCCCCTCCAGGCCTCCAGGTGAGCTTCATGAGTGGCCCAGCAGCTGCTACACAGGCCAGGGCCTGAGCCTGCAAACACTAGACCACTCTTGGCTCAGATTGACCCTGATCCTGCAGGTCCCAGGGCTGTACTGGCCAGATCCTGACAGTAGTAATTGATGCACTGATTTTTACAGCCATCAAGCAGATGCTCTGTATTTTCCAGCAGGATTCTGGCCCTAGTATGTATGTCTTACCTTAAAATACACACATAGAGCTTTGGTTTATGACAAGTGATGAAAGATTGTGGGAGTTTTAGCCCATAAATGTCTGGAGGTCGCCAAAAATTGTCTAACGCACTCGGAAGTATGGGAATTCTGCATTAAGATGTTGGGGCTTAAAACCCATGCTTTGTAGGAAGCAAGCTCATACTACAGTTTCACCTGTTTGGTTCACTTATTTTATGTTCAAGCACCCATACATCTGCTCACTTTTTGAGGCCAGTCCTCATTACTCATCTCTGCACACACTCACATGATGACCTTTTCCCCAAAAGCAAAAGAAGTGGTCTATTTGGCCCACATGTCAATTGCACAGGTTCATTTGATAAGTACCAGAGTCATTTTATAATCTGTCTAACAAACAGATTCTGGTGCAAGAGCTATTTTTGCAGGCCATTCTGTCTCAGGAAAGTGACCTCTGAATACCTAAGGCCTATATGTCCTCACATTATGGCCATCATAAAGAAATGTGGTGCATTGCTCAGAATGTTTGTTTGAATCTTTCCAAATTGCTTACCATGTGGATTGGCCCATCTCTGTATTACAGTCTCTCCTCTTCTGACCCTTTGTGTTTCTAGCAGTAGCTAATATGGCACTATTTCCTTTGACTAGACTAGGCCAAACCAGTTTGTTGTCTTAGTGGCCTGTATATGTAATAGCTGCCTTCTGGCAGCATTCTGCATCACACAGCATTTTCCGTAGTGCAATTTCCTAATTCTTTGTCATTCTGAGTTTTATTGTATATGTTTTATATAAGATTCATTTCAGCATAGCATACATTGAATGCATTACAAAATATATGGAAACTGACACATATAATTAATTCTTCTAGGTTTTCCTTTAGTCCCAGCATCAATTCATGCTGTGGCAAGAACCAAATATTTCAATGACAAGTGAGTATTATGCTTAGTTTTTCACAAATATATAGTTTACTTGGAACATTTTTTAAAGTTTATGATCTTAGTCTTCTAATACTTTTTTCCCCCTTTTCAGCTGCTGGATTAGTGTTGATACGCACTTGCTGTATGTTGTTCATGGACCTGTCATGGCAGCATTATTGGTGAGATCATTACCTGCTATTTCAATTAAACCTCTATGCTTTCTTTATCCATATCAAAGGATTGCACAAGTTAAGCATGTTTATAGTGCAACACCTCTGGAACTAAAGGACTGGCTGGCTGCACACTGCTGCCCAGGGGACACTTGAGTGTACTCACAATGCTTTTCCATTCTTCAGGGACGCTGCCTCTCATTCTTATTATGACCTAGATCAAGGCCAGGGATCATAGAGCTCTCCTATCATTTCTATCAGGTCTAGTCAATCTGGTCTGTGATGAGTCATGACAACACCAGGAGCCCATTGCCATCTGGAGAATCAGAGGTTCTCCACCCAGATCTAAAACTTTGTTCCATCTTCTTATAGAGTATCGAAGGCCACCAACAACAATACATGAGGTCTAGTGGTATAAATGTTGTGCTAGGAATCGGAAGGCCACAGCTCAACCCTTCATTTGGCATTAAGCTGAAAATAATGTTGGCACTAAGATAATGTTGGCACACTTAACCTGTGTAACATAATTGCTGTGGGAAGAAATGGGGGAAGAAAAGTGCTATACGTATAACCTTCAGCTTGTTGAAGGAAAATGGGATATAAATTTGATAAATATATACAGTATATTATCTCGCAGACCCCTCCCACAAATTTTGCTTTCGGTAGAACAGATCCTTGGGGAGAACATATCTCCCTCTCTAGGTCCATCATTGTCACTATTATGATGGCTGCCATTCCACCATGGCGACTAGAGTGTTCTGTCGGCATTATTGAGGAGGAAACCAAACTTTCTTGGTTCTCTAATGTGCTCCTACAGCTACCCAGAAACTATGCCAGGGATAGTGTCAGTGGGAGAAGACATGAAGGCAAAAGATGTTTAATAGTACAAAATAGCACACATACTTAGAAAAAAAGCTCCAACGCTTCTCACTCTGGCTATAATGAACTGGCAGGGCAAAGCAAGTAGTGATAGCTGCAGTGCATGTTTTCCTCTTTGTGCTTCTTTTCTCTGAGGCCATGTCTAGCATAGGGCGGCCACAGGTCCTCTTTTAAGGAGGATGGTCCTCCATATGAAGATCTGTCCTCTGTTTTGGTGATGCATACCCCTTTTTTGTGGCGATGTGTCAGTGATCACACCACCTCCCGCCATAAGTTACCCTGACCGAGCAGGGAAAGTAAATGTTTTGATTGGTATCTGAACATTTCTCTCTTGTTTGTTTAAAGTCAAATAGTTGGATGGGAGTTCATTTTCTAAGAAAAGATGCAAACACTGATATATTTGGTGAAGGATGGCTGAAAGTATAAGGCATGGGATGTCAATGCTGTGGAAACTTCAGATGTGAGATCAGTCCCAGGATTGGACATCCTGGATAGTTCAGACTATTCCTTTGAAATCAGTGATAGCCTAGCTAGACATTTCAACATGTTATTCTCTTTTCATATGTATTCATTTTCGGTACGTTTCAGAAAATGCAGGGCACAGGGCATTCTAGAGAGTTATTAAACACTATGCCTTATTTAATTTCTTTATATCATATATTTGTCTCAATGCGATATCCCAAGGTGGTTGCCTAGTCAGTTTTATGTAATATGGTAAACAATAGTATATTTCTAATTAATGTATAGTAATCATGTCCAATTGTGATTATATTTGCATATATTACTTTAAATTAGCATATGCAAATTTAATACAAAAATGTTCTCCTTTTTGTGAAGAATGTTCTCCTTTTTGGTGTTCTTTGTCCTCCATGTCCTCCTTTTGGATGATGTCCTTTTTGTGGCAATGGCGTAGTGGCCACTCTAGTCTAGTAGGATCAAGAGGTAGGATTTTGAGAAGACAGAATACACTGTAGGTGGAAGATCAGACTACAGGTGGGAAACCACGTATTTAAGTGTTTGCTATTATCAAAGCTCCATGAAAGTAGAACACTAGTAGACCACAGAGTAGGCTAATGTTCTAGTTTTTGCCTGCAGGGGAGGTTGAATGTGGTTTTTTTCCCCATTTCCCACCTATAGTCTGAAGTAGTAAACTCAGGAAACTCCCTACATACAAATGCAAAAATACTGTAAATTCTCTGAAAACTTACCCACAGCTGAGAACAATACAGGATGTGCATAGTATCAATTGTCTATTTATTTAAAAAGTCATTTTGACTTGAGCTAGATGTTGTGTTTCTTGAATTGATTGAGGAGAGATTTAATCTCTAAAATGCTTTTAAACAAAACTAATTCAGTATTCTTTTTCATAATGGAGTAGTACTTCATGTTCTGAAATGCACTGCTTTCTGCCAGATCAATTGAATCAGCTACTACGTATCTCATCTGAAGACCCACAATGAATGAGTGCACTGCATTCACATGTTGTGCAACAATTACAGTTATAAACAAAGAAAGATGTAAATACAGCTCATTTTAATGACAGTTTAAACTGAATTTAATAAACTGGCCATGGACTGGGAGACATTTTCCAATTTTTACAAGGGATTCTACAAGTTAAAGGATTTTACCCCTCAGTCCTTACCCAGTCTGGACAAACAACAGGATACAGTCCATTTTAGTATTCTACAACCCCATGCTACTATACAAGCAGGCTAAGCCTGAGACTGGTATCCAATGACTAATTTTGTTGATAACGTTGTCTGGTGAAGAGCTTCCTGGTTGATGGAAGGCATTTTATAAATACGTAATATTGCAAACATCAGCTGAAGTGATATGTAAGTCCTACACAACAACTTGCTTTCCCAACAGTAGCACGTACAAAGGACCTGTGTTAGAAGATAATAACAAACATTTAAGCTTGGTAGCACACCAAGCTACCAAAACAATTTTATTTCCTTGATTAAAACATGTTTATGTATATATTTCCAGTTTGCCCCTCTTTTAGTGGCATGTACTGTAAAAACTGTGCATAGTTTTGTGTAGACTGGGTTTTTCCAAAGCAAATTGTTGCAGTAGATTGTGTTTCCTCCTGTGCAAAACTGCTACTTTTAGCGAGACTATCATGTCCAACAAAATTATTTTCCTTCCCTGCTTAGACCCAATGGTTTCTCCTTCAGGACAGACACACATAGAAGCTTAATGAGTACAAGATCTTAACTGGGACTAGATTTACTAAAAATGGGATTATGACTTGCCAAGCACATGATTCTGTGTGCATCTGTATAAGCCATGTGTCTCCTCCTCAGAGCTTTCTATAGGAAACCAGTAAGGTCAGTGTCGTGTGAGTCAATATCTCAGAGAGATTCCTGGTGTATGAATTTTGCCTCCAGACAGTTACATCATCAGAGGAACTACTCTGATGATAAGTAAGATGGAAGTGACAAAGAAGTAGCCATGCTCTGTCTCCACGAACTTAAATGTAGTTTTCAGTTGCCAAAGAGAGCGGTTAATGACTATGAAACAATAATTTGTTTGGAAAAATAAGTTGCTTGTTAGATCCGGGCTTCAGGAAATCAATCCATTTGCCCAGAACAGATATGAAGCATTATCATTTTCAATGTAACAGTTTGTGAAAGCAAGCTGCTGTGCTTAATGTCATAGCGAATTTTATCTCCTGGATGGGAGTACCTTGCATGGCCTCTCCAGAACAGCAACCAGCTCAAGATTTATTGCAACAGTCTACTGTTTTTCCCTCTGGGATCATAAAGGCCAGAGCTGTCTGACAATATGCAAATATTTTCCTATGTTTTAATGGTTCCCTAAGTCTGTAGTCTACCTGCAAAATAAAACCATATTTTTAAAAAGAACTCAGTGAATGGAAAAATATATGCTGATTGCTGGCTTCAAAACATCTGGCTTCCTCATTAGAACACCTGTCTTTGCAAAGAACACATTATGTTAGTAATAAGGACAGTAAACAACAAAGGAATGACAATAATACTTGAAAACAGACATTTTAAACAAAAAATCGGTAAAGGAACAATGTTCAGACATACTTCCTGATGCTTCCCCATCTCGTAAGGATAGAGAGCAGGAACAATCCATCTGTTGGGATTGAATTTTGGAATCATAGGGATTGCTATGTGTGCCAAAGGCTCCTCATATGATTTAAAACCAAGATCACTATCCAGAGATATGTTATACAACTGTGCAGTTGTTGTTAAGAACTACCACACAATGACAAAAAAAATAGAGCATTACTAACCACTAAAATAGGGTGATGTGGTGGCGCTGCGGGTTAAACCGCAGAAGCCTATGTGCTGTAATGTCGGAAGACCAGCAGTCATAAGATCGAATCCACGTGACAGTTGGCTCCTGCCAACCTAGCAGTTCGAAATCATGTAAAAATGCAAGTAGATAAATAGGTCCCACCACGGTGGGAAGGTAATGGCGTTCCATGTCTAGTCGGGCTGGACACATGACCATGGAAACTGTCTATGGACAAATGCTGGCTCTACGGCTTGGAAATGGGGATGAGCACTGTCCCCTAGAGTCGGACATGACTGGACTAAATGTTAAGGGGAACTTTTACCTTTACCTTAACCACTAAAATATCTTTCTACTTCCGTGTTCCCACTACCTTGCAAGCTTTTGCCCCTATTTTCCCCTTGTGCTTCCTTCCCCTCTTTTATTCGTGAGAATATAACAAGAGACCTACTGGATCAGGCAAAAGCTGTCTAATCCAGCATACACTGTGGCTATCCAGATGTGTATGGTAAGCACAATAGTGCTCTCTCTGTCATGTTCTCCAGCAGCCTCTGATATTCAGGGGCAATTCACTTCCTGGCGTGGCCTACCATTAGAGAGAAGAGGCCTTCTCCGGCTGTCATGAAAGTGCAACAAACTGCTAAACTGGGGACTTTTTGCATACAAAACATGAGCTATCCTACATTAGACTGCCAAAGTTGCAGCAAGGACAGTACGCACTGAAGTAACACCAGATCCTTAGATGTTGTTTCACTTGCCCACTACTCCAGTCTTCTTCACAAACATTGTTTCATTAAGTTAGCTCCATGTTCAAATGTGACCATTGTTCTATCTCATACGTCCTATTATCTATACATCACTGTAATGGGTTGTGATTTGAGTAGAGTACTGTTTCAAGATCCATATAAGAAAATTAATGCATTATATTGATGGAGAATTTTTGAAGGTTTTATAAGAAGAATTCAACTGTTTATGAACATTAAGAAACGAAGCAACATTGATGATAATGACAAAGGATTTGTGTGTTTTTCCAGGTCAATTTTTTCTTTTTGCTCAACATTGTACGAGTACTGGTAACAAAACTGAGAGACACACATCGGGCTGAGTCCAACATGTACATGAAAGCTGTCAGAGCCACTTTAATCCTTGTGCCCTTATTAGGAATCCAGTTTGTCATTATTCCCTGGAGGCCAGAAAACAAACTTGCCGGTGAAGTGTATGATTACATCATGCATATATTAATGCATTACCAGGTATGGATTTGTAACACTGATTATGATTTTTGGTGATGTATTTAGTAGTAGATTTTGTTTGACAGAGGATTCTTTTCCCAGGAAACACAGCTGACTTCAACTAATGGATTAGTGCCATTCAGATCAAAGGGAGTAAGTTAGTTTTGCAAGAGCTTAATTGATTTGTAGATTATTTCTAGACAAATCATCTGTAATTAAAATATCTGTGACAGTTTGCCTATAATTAAGCTACTAAAACAAAGAAAAACTCTTGATTTGCATTGAAGTAAATCCCTCTGATACCATTGGCCTAAATCCTCTTGTGTAGTTACTTCAGCATTAATGGCAAGTCACAACTTTTAGAAGTGAATTGCCCCTGCTTAAGAAATCACATGGCTTGATGCACAACAAATAATGTCTGCAGTAATTTCTTAAACTGGGGCAATTCACTTCAAAGAGTTACACCATTAATGTTTTATTAGTGTAATTATGCAAGAGGATTTTGAGCAGTGAGACATATTCTGAGTGCCTGTGGCCTGTGGCCATAAAAAATAGTATGCTGTGTGATGAATGTACCACTTAAGACGACTGTTCTGCCACATACTTAAATTTTCCCCTCACCCAAAAAAAGAAACAAATCCCTATATTAGGAAAACTGGGTATAAGGAGAGTTCATTTAAAATGTTTCTTCTTGGTTTATTACTATAGTGGATATAAGGGAAAGGCCAGAGGTCCCAAGGTCAGAAACATGACCTTTCAGGGTTTCCAGTCACGGGAACTCTATAGACTCATTCAAATAATCTTGATTACAACGATTTGTAGGATTTGGGAGCAAAGCTGATGTTCATGCTCATCTCCATATTCCTACATACCAGTAGGTGAATATCATTGTCTGGAAGAAAGGGAAGCCATTACATCATTTATTTGTAAGTGTCTGGGATCATTGATAACTCAAAGAAAATGATAGGGTTGGGAAGAAATGACTGGTACAGAGATCAAAATGATAGCCCTGAAATTTACTTAGAATGAGAGTAATGACTAATACCACAGGGTATCTCCATAAATGATCAGGTGTTATAGCAAAGCTTGAAGCCATGGGAAAAAAATGGAAAAGAGTGGCCCTGGCTGCCAGATGGGCAGCATAGAAATCAAATAAATAAATACAGTGGTGCCTCGCTTAACGAGCGCACCGTATAACGACGAAATCGCATAGCGATCCGTTTTTTACCGATGGGCCCTATAGCCGAAAATCGCGGCGTTTCGCGGACAAAATGGCCACCGGAAGCTCCATAATGGCCGCGCGCAGCGTTTTCGCGCCCTCCCCTCGCTTAACGAGGGTGCGAAAATGGCTGCCGGCCATAGGAAACCTCGCTGAATGGTGAGTAAAGGAGCCTTTTGGCTTTCCCATAAGGCTTTCCCTGCCCCGTTCAGCGATCCCTATAGCCGAAAATCGCGGCGTTTCGCGGACAAAATGGCCACCGGAAGCTCCATAATGGCCGCGCGCAGCGTTTTCGCGCCCTCCCCTCGCTTAACGAGGGTGCGAAAATGGCTGCCGGCCATAGGAAACCTCGCTGAATGGTGAGTAAAGGAGCCTTTTGGCTTTCCCATAAGGCTTTCCCTGCCCCGTTCAGCGATGGTTCGCTATAGCGAAGGTTAATCCGGAACGGATTAACCTCGCTAGCCAGATGGGCAGCATAGAAATCAAATAAACAAATAAGAATGTTCTGCCTGGAAACTACTGAACACAGCCTTGTCTCTCTGCCGGTTTGAGGAGCATTGGATTACTAAGGAGAAAGATCAGTGATGTATTCGGAAAACTTTCAGAGCACACCACCAATCTCTTACTCACTGATTCCACAGAGCCATGACATATCCTTAATGTTCCAGAGAAATGGCAGAAGCTCCAGCAATGTCCGTTACCCCACTGGTCTCCACAGAACTTTAGGGATGAGGATATTCCTCCTCTCTTTACCCTACTTCCTGCATTCCTATTATTTCCTCCAATGTCAACATTTATTAAGTAAAAATTACATTGGATTGAATATAGATATGGTTCCCTTCAAGTAGATCCACTTGCGTTCTATAGCTTTCATATGACCCACCATAAGGATAACCATTATCAACATGTATTGTGTTATTGTATAGCCTAACTACTAATACAGTATAAAGGCAGAGCAAGCCATGTGGGGTCAGTGTCCTGGGGGTAGTTTATATAATTCGCTGTCAGTCCATTTAGAGTTTATTGAAATGAATGCTTTGTACTTATATTTAAAAGTACTTGCTATCTTGATGCATTCCACAGGTAATAAAGATTTGAAGTGCTGAAATAGAGGCTGCCAGTTCCCATTTGAAAAAATATATGTGTCTATTTATATAATGGCATTTTCTTCTCAAAGTCACATTCTCTGCTGGAAAATAACACAACCAAGTACCTCCTGCCAGGTTTCCTATTGTAGAAGTACTGAAGAGCAATAGGAGTCACTCTTGCTGTCCTGCCCTCTTTATGAGCTTGCCATGTTCCTCACAAAGCACTTTCAGTCATAGCAGTGATGATTATCCCCATCTCACAATTTCCTCAGGCCAATAAATGCTTCATTAGAGTAAGCATATCAGACAAGAAATCTTCGAGAGGTCCTGGAGCACAGGCAGACTGCCAGAGGACTGGAAAAGAGCAGATGTGGTTCCTGTCTTCAAAAAGGGGAGGGGGGAGTGGATCCAGGAAACTACAGGCCATTCAGCTTGACATCAATACGCGGGGAAATCCTGGAAAAAAATAATCAAGCAACAGATTTGTGAGCACCTAGAAAATAACAAGGTGATTACTAGAACCCAGCACGGGTTTGTAAAAGATTTGTAAATCTTATTGCCTCTGATAAAGTGACTAAATTAGTGGACCAAGGAAACACAGTGGATATAGTATACTTAGACTTCAGTAAGGTAGACCACAACCTACTTCTGCGTAAGATAGAACAAAGTGGGCTAGAGAGTGCAACTACCAAATGCATTTGCAGCTGGCTGACCAACTGCCCTCAACGTGTGGTCGTCAATGGAACCACATCTTCATGGAGGGAAGTGTGCAGGGGGGGGGTCCTCAAGGTTTTGTCTTGGGCCCCGTGCTCTTCAATATCTTCATAAATGACCTAGATGAGGGGATTGAAGGAGCTCTCATCAAATTTGCTGATGATACAGAGCTGGGGGGTGGATTGCTAATACTTTGGAAGATCTAGACAGACTTGAGCTTTGGTGCCTATCCAATAAGATGTAGTTCAGTGGTGGGAAAAGTAAGGTCTCATAACATGCTTTTGACTACATATACCATGATCATGACACCTGTGAGAGGGATTTAGGTGTCCTGGTTGACCACCGCCTAAGGATGAGTCAGCAGTGTGCTGCAGCTGCCAAGAAAGCCAACACAGTCCTAGGCTGCATCAATAGGAGGATGGCATCAAGATCACAGGAAGTGATAGTACCACTGTATACCACACTGGTGAGGCTGCACTTGGAGTGCTGTGTCTAGTTCTGGTCACCACAATACAAAAAAGATGCTGAGGCCCTGGAAGGGGTGCAGAGAAGAGCAACAAAGACGATAAGGGACTGGCGACTAAATCCTATGAAGAATGACTAAAAGAACTAGGTATGTTTAGCTTAATGAAAAGAAGATTGAGAGGACACATGATAGCAGTCTTCCAATATCTGAAGGGTTGCCACAGGGAAGAGGGTAGGACAAGAACCAATGGGTGCAAACTCATCAGAGGCAGATCCAACCTGGAAATAAGGAGGAATTTCCTGACAGTGAGAACCATTAAGCAGTGGAACACCTTGCCTCCCGATGTTCTGGGTGCCCCATTGCTGGAGGTTTTCAAGAAAAGATTGGACAGCCATCTGTCTGGGATGGTATGAGGTCTCCTGCCTTGGGCAGGGGGTTAGACTAGAAGACTTCCAAGGTCCCTTCCAACCCTACAACGATTCTATGATAAGAAACAAAACAAAAGCAAAAACAGAAACAAAAAAAAACCCCAAAAGAATTAAAAAAGATAAAAATGTTGTGGCACCTTAAAGACTAACAGTTAAATTTTAATTTGAGCTTTTGTGGATCAGGTTCACTTCCTTAGACATAAGAGTGAGGCTACATGGCAAATGTTTATAAATTTATACATATTGTATACAACAGTGCCCCTCTTCACTCTACATAGGACAAAAGGGATAATATCTCTGCACAAAAGAATGAATGGACATAATTTGTACATCAGAAATGGCATAACGCAGAAACCTGTTTCAAATCATTTCACTCTACCTGGATATTCTTCACAGGATTTGACATTTGGCTTTCAGGAGAAGAGAAGAAAAATTATAGGGCAGGAATCCAGAGAAAGAGTCACTTGAGATAAAATGTATACATATGCTGGATACCCATCTCAGTGGATTAAATATTAGTCAAGAGTTCTTAAGCCATCATCACATGGGGTTCCTTTACCTGAGGAAATTGTGAGATGGTGTCATTGTCACTGCTATGACTGAAAGTGTTTTGTGAAGAAGGCAGCAATCTTGAAAAGAGGGCAGGACAGTGAGAAATGAAATAACTGAAACTGCCATATGAAAGTAAGTGGAAAGTTTAAGCATGAAGTTAAAAAAATGAAGTGGGGAAAAGGGAAAAAACCCTTTTCTTTGTATTTTCCATTATAACATGACAGGTTCCAACAGAGTCTCTCCGTAAACCTGGAGATCTGTTTGTATTTCTAAGTTCAGATATTGTAGCTTCATAATTGGTGCTTATGCAAGTAAGATGAGGCAAAGAATATGGAAGTGACTCACTAAAGAGACAGAGAGAAAAAGAAAGCTAGAGAGAAATAAATTAATTAGAGGAACTGGTGGAGTTAATGGCACAAATATTTGCATAATTGCATCATGTTTTAGAAACAGTCATTGGTGCATGACAGAAACATAAATCCACATTCAGTCCAATTGCATCTTCTACATTATTAACTGCTAAAGTCCAGAAACAAATGTTAGATATAGTTTAT